GAGGGCACAGGGCAATTGAATTATGGGTGTGGGCACACATGCGCGACCCCCCTGCGCTCCCCCCACTTTTGGCACACGACAGCAAAAAGGTTAGCCATCACTGTCCTATAGCAATAGCACTTAGACTTACCGGTATATACAGCTTTGTAGTGCTTTACAGCCCTCTCTAATTTAGAATTAATTTTAAAACTCTATTGCAAAAGTTACAATATTCTGATTTTATTTGCACTCCATGTCCAAATAAACTCCACATATAACTTTCTAAGATCAAATTTTATTTAGCTTTTTGCTGTTTATTTCTGATTCTCTACATCCTTAACGTTATGATTAAATTTTTTTTCAGACAGGATTGAAGGCTGATCACCCAACATTTTCAAGCTTATCATCCCAAATGTCTTGTCTTTAATAGCTTAGAAGTAGTTAATGAGCCGAAAGTGATTATAACAGGGTGGCTTTTTTTCCAAACTTAATCTTTTAAAAATCTCCATGGTAATGAGCTAATCTTGTCTTCTGGTGCTCAAATCCACAGAAAACAGCTGTCCTGCAGTCTCTTGCAAGGAGCAGCTATCAGAAGCACATGTGGCCAATCTCCCATCTTCTCCTCCAGAAAGGTTCCAAGGAACTGGTCTACCTGCTGATTTCTTGGTCTTAGCTACAGTTATTGACTTTGCTTTTGTTAAGCCAGTTTTAGTTTGACATACTTCCTCCCCCCCCCAAATCCTGTTTCACAAATCTTTAAACTGTTTATTAATTTTCTCAGACATACCGTACCTGCTAAATCTTCTTTTGCTGAACTAAAACTTGTGGCAAGATGGGCGGCAAACAAATTTAATAAATAAATACAATAAATTCCATCTCAATTTCAGGTCCCACATAAATTCTTTAAGTAAATGCTTGATAGTATTAAAATCCTCTTTAGAGCGATAACTTAGAGGTTATAAATCACACCCTGGCCTCGTCTTCTTTTTCTCCACTGGAAGAGAGTTTATTTATTTTTGGCTCTTTCATGTACATTTTGATCCATTTAGTTTGTTGTGAAGGACTGTATGTCCCCTGGACATTTTGCATTAATTGCTTTAGAAAGTATTTCAGTGTAGATAAACAGTTCATAATAGCTAAACAGGCAGATTGAAGGACAAGCAAGGTATTCAACACACCATCCTTAAACTAAGCCATGACCTATTTGCAAAATATTATATATGACACAAGGGAAAGCATGTAACCCAGAGAAGCAAGAAGATCAGAAGTGGGTGCTGACTACCAGCATGGGTGGCTTCAGAAAAGGATTGGACCAATTCATGCAAGTCAAGGGAATCAGTTGCTATTACACTTGATGTCGGTGTGACCTCCTGTGAAGGCTACCATTGAGTAACTAGTGGGCCTCCTTGTGCAGTTGGTTGAATCAGAACAGACTCCTGGACTAGATCAGCCAGAGATCTGATCTAGCCAGCTACTGCATATGTTCTTAAGAAACTTTAAGAACAGTATGCATGGCTGAACCAGATAGTGTCCTATTATAGCAATAGCAATAGCATTTAGATTTATATACCACTTCATAATGCTTTACAGCCCTCTCTAAGCTGTTTACAGAGTCAGCATATTGTCCCCAACAATGTGGGTCCTCTTTTTACCAACTTCGGAAGAATGGAAGACTGAGTCAGTCTTAAGCCAGTAAGGATCAAACTGCTGGCAGTCAGCAGAATTAGCCTGCAATACTGCATTCTAACCACTGCGCCATCATGGCTCATTGGCCATGGGATGATAAGGCCAGGAATTGAAGAAACAACAGAGGGAGATAATTAGTGGGATAATGCTCTATCATAAGAGCCAAGGTGGTGCAGTGGTTAGAGTGCAGCACTGCTTGCTACTTCAGCTGACCGCTAGCTGCAGTTTGGCAGTTCAAATCTCACCGGCTCAAGGTTGACTCAGCCTTCCATCCTTCCGAGGCTGGTAAAATGAGGACCCAGATTGTTGGGGGCAATACAGTATGCTTACTCTGTAAACAGCTTAGACTGCTGTAAAAGCACTGTGAAGCGGTATATAAGTCTAAGTGCTATTGGTATGAGTTAATGCTCTTCCAACATTTTCATAAATAACTTAAGAGGAAGGGGTAGAAGAGATGCTCATTAAGTTTGCTTACAACATAGCTGGAGCTGTGGGAGTATGCTACTTCAGAAGACAGCCTCAATGTTTGAAAGATCTTTATAGGCTTGAACACTGAATCTTAGCCCACAAAATACAGTTCAGTTGTAAGAAATGGACGGTTCTGCACTTAGGTAGGAAAAATATAGGTGGTGCCTGGCTCAATAATACTTATGAGCAGTTATGAAAAAAATCTGGGCATCCTAGTAGGCCAGAGATTATCTATGACCCAGGTGTGTATTGTAGCTGCCAAAAAGCTATAGTCTTGGGCTGTATCAACAGAATAGTGTTGAGATCATATGAAATGAGTCTGATTCATGCTGCATTGGTCAGACCACTTCTGGAATCCTCTATCCATTTCTGGTCACCACAGTACAAGGAGGATGCTGAGGAACTGGAAGGAGTGCAGAGAAAGCAACAAAGATGGCGAGGAGCTTGGAGGCTATGAAGAACGGTTAAAGGAAATGGGTATGTTTAATCTAAAGAGAAGGATGAGGGGAGACATGCTAGTGATCTTCAGATATTTGAAGGGCTGTAACATGGAACATGATGTAGAATGATCTTCCGAAGTTCCCAAGGAAAGAACAAGAATCAATAGATGGAAATAAATTTGCTTTCAACAACTTTTCCTATACTTATCAGCTTATGCAGGTGATTTCCTTTCAAATCGCAGATCTGGGGATAAAAATAACATAATTTACAGTGTATATCTACTCAGAATTGAGTCAACTGAACCCAGTAATTTTATTAGCAACACTACAGAACTTACCGTTTCCTTCCAAGGTTTCGTTTTTCTTTACAGTGATGTCTGGGGGGGAGTTCTCGGGTACCAATCAGTATTGACTTAATTTAACTCTTCTCATGATCAACCAAGTTAAATTTGACATTGTATTTTTTTTCATTGTATTTCATTGTATTTTTCATTGTATTTTGTTATTCCCAAATTCAATAATCCTTGATTTATGACCTGGAATTTCCATTCCATGATAGTTGTAAACTGAAGCACTCATATGACTGACACAATTTTGTAACATTAAGTGTCTGCTTTACTAACGCTTAAGTGAACATGGTGTTTGTAAAGCAAACACGGTACTTGTTATGCAAACATTACAGTCATTATGCGAACCCATTGTCGATAATGGCCAGTTGTTGCCAGGAACCAGAAATAAACTCTGGTTTCCAGCAAAAAAAAAAAAAAAAAACCCTCATAAGTCACAGTCATGTGATCATGGGATGTTGCAAATAGCCATAAATGCAGCCTGGTTGCAGAGCACTCAAAATATGATCACATGACTATCGGGTGGGCATCTGAACTTCGGATCTGGGTCATAAGTAACTTTAGGGGCGGGAACCTTGTAACCTTAAACAGTTGTTAAGCAACCGGTCATAAGTTGATGACTACATGTACAGTCTTTTTAACATTTGCATGCATTGTAATTGTTGCAGTAAATATGCAAGTTGAGTTTATAAAATATTTAGGAGTGGAATCTATATCAGGGTTTTATTAGATTGCAGCCTCTGTGAACAAATATGTAATGTTAGAATAAGTGCAGTTTCTCTTCAGACATGTGATCGTCCCTCTCCTGGGTTAATAGATAATCCTTGACTTACAACAGTTCGTTTAGTCACTGTATGAAGTTACAGCAGCACTGAAAAAATTGACTTATAACAGTTTTTCACCCTTATGACCATTGCAGGATCTCCATAGTTATGTGATCAAAATTCACTCTTGACAACTGATTCATATTTATGACGGTTGCAGTGTCCCAGAGTCATGTGATCACCTTTTGTGACCTGACAAGCAAAGCCAATGAGGAAGCCAGATTCACTTAACAATCATGTTACTCACAATTGCAATGAATCATTTAAGAACTGTGGCAAGAAAGGTCATAAAACGTGGCAAAACTCACTTAACTGTCTTGCTTAGCAATAGAAATTTTGGGCTTCAATTGTGGTCTTAAGTTGAGGACTACATGTATCTGCTAAATACAGTACCAGTTAATGCCTTTGTGAATATTGACACATAGGAAACATAAAAAGAAGCACCAGAAATGGAAAGATTGACAAAAGAAAGAGAAATAGGACAAAGTATTCCCTCCCCCCCTCTGAGGAAAAAAACAAAGACCAGGAGAAGAGGGAAATTGGGAAAGAAAAGAAAAGAGAAAGACAAAAGAGAAAAAGAAACAGGATGAAAAAATCGTAAGAGGGCAAACACAGCAGCAAAATTGACAACTGTTTATCATTCATCATTCTATTCCTATGCATGTAATAGAAGTTGCTCTACAGAAGGCAGCACTCTTCAGAGCAGGTGCTTTACAATGTGATGGGAAACTATTCTATTTAAGGAAGAGCTAAGGGCAAAAGAGGAGGTCAAGATGATATTTAATTCATGCTCACATCCACCCTTTTTAATTTAGCTGTGCCTCTGCCACAGGAACAAACCATTCCATTCTTTCATTCTGTGATTTGGCTATTCTCGGCTCACCATTGTTCCTAGGCACAAAAAGCCTGTCATCTGGGATTCCTCTCCCTCGGCAGCTTTCATTCCCACGTTTTCACAAGAACATCTATCTACTGGCTGACCTCCTGGCTGCTATTTCGAGCAGGGAAGCAGCCCGTCTCCTCACGTCCTCACCCTAAACCTCTCTAGCCCACAGAGCCCAAGGCGGGCTACCCCTAATCTCTTTGCAAAACGTTTTGCAAAGAAAAAAAAACGGTGAGCAAACTCTTGCAAACCAAGTGGTGGGGACTGCAAAGGCCACATGATGAGGGGAGGCGGGGAGAAGAAACTCCACCCCGCAAAAGCCATTCTACCCCGGGCAAGGGGCCCGCCTGTAGCCAGAGGCCACTCCCTGCTTGGGGCAGCGGGTGAAGAGTGCTGCTTATAAGAAGGGGCTCTTCTTGGGCTCAACTCCTGCCGCGCTCCCGCCTTCTCTGCGCGCCATGGAGATATGCATTCAGTGCTGTGTGGTGGGGAGCATCATAACCTACCTAATCTTGCAGATCCTACGCTGGATCCGAGCTGACAGCGACCTCACCGTGCAGTGGGCAGAATGGTGGGGCAAGAGTCCCGGTAAGTCACCAGCGGAATTTCTTCTCTCTCTCTCTCTCTCTCTCTCTGTCGCGGTGGCGCTCAACTTTTTCGCTTCAATCTGCATGGAGTTTGTTGCTTCCTCCCGCGCGGGGACGTGGCACCAGTTCTCCGGGGCTGCGCGCGGCCCCTCGATTACAACAGTTAGCAAAAGGGATTAAAAAAAAAAAAGAAAAAAGAATCGGACGAGGGAGGAAGCGGCAGTTTCACAGTCGGGACAAATTGCGAGAGTTTTATTATACGCCCTCCTCGCGCCCAGCAAACCGACAAGGGCGCGGCGCCATCTCCCGCACAGGCGGTGGTTAACTGTCCGTGGAAATTACGGGGATGCTGCGAGATTTGTTAACATTTTAAGCGGAAAGCCTTCGTGAATTTGGAATCTGCCAGATGTCGGGATTACAGTTTCTTGACTATTTGAAAACAGCTGTATTTACCCAAGCATTTATCGGACCACGTGGCCAAATTATCGTTTAGTTTAGTTTATTTTGCTGCTCCCCGCTTTTTTTTTTTAACTATTTTAACTATTTTACTATTCTAAATGAATTTTGTTTTAAAGTTTTGAGCATTTGAGCAAACTTTTTTTTTTAAATTGTATTCCAAACTGTTCTGGGATTTTCTGGGGAAAAAGAGTAATAGGAAAAAGTAACAAAGTTCAAATAAACTCTCTAAGGGAAGCCTGGGGCTGCCAGTTCTGGGCTACAAAATGTCAGACTGTAGGATGTTTGTAGGCTGTGGCTGTCATCTGGAGTTTGTAGCCCAAAACTGGTAATCAATCAAGCACTGGCCATGCTGGCTGCAGATATGGAAGCTACAGTCGACACTCTTGGAGATCTGCAGGTTCTGACTAGGGTGTGGGCAAGCCCTCTCTTCTGTCCCTGTAGTATTACTCATCAGAATATGTTTTCAGGCATTGCTTCCTAATCCCAAGTAAATATGCCCAGGCTTCTTTCAGCTTGGTTGCTAGAACACAAAGCTGCATTTAACATATTTTGAAACTGTCATTGAGCCAGTTTACTTGTGGAAACTGGACAGAAGTGGTTGATCAGGCCCATGTCTGATTTCCAACTGGATACTAGTGGATTGCAGAGGTTTTACAATCCATTTATTTACCGATCATGAAAAGGGCTCACCTCTCCCCTACATTTTGAGGCAGGGAAACTCTCATGGGAAGGGAGAAATCCAGGAGTTTGTGGGAAAGGATTTTTTTAAAGGCTATTCACAAACACTTTTTTTTTTTGAAAAGTATTTTTTTATTTTTTTCCAACATAAAACATAAAATATATCTTTCAAGAGCGAAGTCTTGATCAGGTCATAGATAGGTACAAACGCTTAAATATTAAAAATCTCCATTCATAATTTTCCATTACATCTTTTAAAATTGAAGATCAGAACATAATAAAAAAAATGTTTTTTAACATAGATTCTAGTATCTTGATCAGAACCATTCTATTATATCCCCACCAATTTAATTTCCAAATAGAAGCTTAATTCATTTTATATACCCATTTATAAATTCAATTATATTTGGTTCTTTCCCAAGCTCCCTTCATTATGCCTTTTAACATCAATATCAAAACATAAGATTTTAAAAAATATTCTAACCTCTTGGTTGATTATTTACCTTACAATTTTATCACCACACATCTTAGTTTCAAATTGACTACAGCTCTATTTTTTATTTCAATTTATAAATCAAAGTTCTATTCATATTTCTTAATCTTTAGACCCCTCATCAAATCTTTAAATATTAAACTTTATCAATTTACCTTTAATTTTACATATTTCATATTACAGAGATTTATCTCAAAATCCATATCCTCCTCCATATCTCCTCCTATTGTTTGGCTGATTTCTAGCATATTTTATTTTGGCTGATTTACACCATATTCTCCTCCATACCTCCAACTTTTGTTTGGCTGATTTCCAGCATGTTTTATTTTGGCTGATTTCCAGCATAGTCACCTCCACACCCCCATCCATTGTTTGGCTGATTTACACCATATTGTGTTTTGGCTGATTTCCAGCATATTTTATTTTGGCTGATTTCCAGCATATTCTCCTCCAAATCTCCACCTCTTTTTTAGCTGGTATACCAGCATGCTTTCCTCCATGCCTACTTCTATTATTTTAGCTGTTTTATTTTAACTAATTCACAGCATATTACATAAGTTGCTTTTTCAACGCATTCTCCCACAATTTTTAACTCAACATTATTTTAACAGATATCTTCTCACATATTTTCTCCTGAATTGTAAATTTCCTAATAATGTGAAGTCATCTCTCTTCACATTATTTTAAAATTCAAAAATTCATTTAAGCATTCAAAATATTTAAAAACTCATATTCTCATTCAATCATTTATAATCTTATTTCATGACCAAATTAGTATATGTCTATTTATATAATCAAGTTTAAAGGAATGGAAGTGAAAAGTAAGAAAGGATACAGAGAGAGAGAGAGAAGAGAGAGAGTAAAAGTAAAGAGGAAAAAAATAGCAAAAGAAGGAAAAGAAAAAAGATAACAAAAGAGAAAAAGGGAGAAGGAAAACACCTCATATCAGTATTCAGGCTTCAGGTATGCATTAAGCATTACATTTCCATTTTAATCAAACTATGTTATTTTTCTTATCTTGCAAGCCACTATATTCCATTTCTTCTTTTTCCAATCTGTCCAAAACTGTTCCTTTTCAATTTCAATATTATATTGTGTCACTACACATAAGTCTGATAGGGTTTACCTACTTCCCTGTAACAACACCTAACAAAAGAGAAATAGAATCAACAATTCATCTGGTAGATTGAGTCTACTTTTATATTGGTGATTAAAGCACACGTGTACACACTCACAGATATACAATTCATTTTCTAGGGCGATGGCACTAGTTTTTACATAAAGCCAAGTCTTGTGAACATGATTTTGTATATGGCTTCATTGGATTAAATGGAGGATTGTAATTTTTGTAAATTAAGCTTCATTGGATTAAATGGAGGATTGCTTCTAATATCCATTTGTTTAAGCTTTAGTTAGATTTAGCTGCAGTACAGTATCTACTAATACATTTATTAATACCATATAGATCTTTTACTAGAGTAATTACATTTTTTTAAAAAAGCCAAACTGTTGAAAGAGAATTTTAAAGTCAGAAAGAACATTAGAGGTCATATTGTTCAATTCTTCCTCAGTGAATGATCCATTAGACCATCTCTGATCAATTATATACAGTACTTGAGGATCTTGAGCGAAGGAGAACTTAACATTTCAGGTGACGCCTGTTCCACTGGAACAGCTCTTATAGTCAGGAAGTTCTTCCTGGTGTGTAGCCTGAATTTCTTATAGTTGTAGGGAATAAATCCGCCTCTTGTTCTGTGTGACAGTCCAACAGATACTGAAAGACTGCTGTCTGCCCACCATTGTCATTTCTAAAACACCTAAACTTATAACAATCAAAGTCTCTGAGTAGTTCTGTCTATCCTACTTCAGTTTCTGGACTCTCAAGGTATTTAACTGACTCCCCAGCCAAATTGAAATCTATGCTCTGATAGTGAAAAAATATAAAAAGATTGCACAATTGTATCTTACCCGTTTGATTATGTAGTAAAGAAACTGAGCAGTAATTGGATAATTTTTTTTTATTTTCTAAAAAGATTAAATAATTGCATTGCTATTTATTCTGTACATAGTTGTGTGCATGAACAAATTGCTGATTAAAGGCAGGAATCTAGAAGTAGTTATTCTTAGTGCAATTATGAGGTTTTGCCCGAAGCATTTGAAAGACAAAATCTTTGTGTGGGTGTTAGTTGACTGAGTTTCATGTTTAATTAATGAAATATATTATAATAATGATGATGATGATGTTGATGATGTAGGGTCATCAAGGATTTCAAACATATGTCTACTTTAAGATTAGCAATAATATTTCAATCCATTGAGTTTTGTTTGCTCAACAATAAGAACTGGTTGAATTCATGGAACACTTACTCTTACCTGCATAGCACAAGAATTATTGTGTAGAAACATTTTCCTCAAGTGATGCAACACTTGAGGAGAATGTCAGAGTCAGAATGTCATCAGTCAGAGTGGCTAGTGTTGATATCTTATGAGGACAAGCTTATTGTTCTGACTGGCAGAATATGATGGATGGATTGATACCTGTCGGCCATATTAACCGTCTATCCAGACCTTCATGGAAAGCTGTTAACATTAGAAAATTCAGTGCTATAAAATACAAACAGAAAAAAAAAAACCTTCATGAAGGATGAGAAAAAACATCTGTGCAATCCATAAAACCAACAAGCTGAAATCAGCATTTGATTTATTAACATTTTGCATATTACCTTCCATTAAAATATTCTATGGCAGATTTCAAGATTATTTTAACATGTAAAACCGTAGGTAAGATATGAGCCTATAACTAAAATGAAAGGGGCCCTCAGCAGATCTTTAAAAAATAATTTCACCTGGTATTTCAAAAAAGACAAAAGTGATGTTGGAACTGGAATTATTAAGATAAGAATTATATTTATAATCTTCAACTAGAAACTGATTTAAAACATGAGATTCCCCCCCCCCCAAAAAAGCAGTAATCATTTTCATTAAGCTCCACAGAGATGGCTGGATGGGGCAAATATGAGCAAACACAGATTATCTCGGTAAACAAGAGGGAATCATATACAAGGAGACATTCTCTCAGGTGACCTGGACCAAGAAACAATTAATTGGCATTTTATTCTATTTATATATCATTTTATACATTTTCTTTAAATACTGTATCATGATATGTACATCAATTGACTCCTGGTGGTTTACAACAGTAAAAATAGTAAAGAAAAAGAAAACCAAAACAATGGGAAAGGCTCAGATTCTTTCCATTAGACACAAAAGCCAGCTGGGGAATCTTGGATGAACCCAAATCATGCCCAGTCTTGTGACAAGGTAGCTGAAAAACAAAATCCCTGATCTCACCATGCATTGACAAACTTGGC